GATAATGTCTTATATTAATTTCATTGTAAATGAACTAAGGAATTGTTCCTTTTGTGGAAACTCAAGTGCCAATAAGTCTTTTTGTTTGCTGAGCCACTGTGAAAGTAGCGGCGCTCCCTTTTTTTCTAAGAGCGAATTAGTCAAAATGTCCTTTTAATCCCTTTAAAGTCCCAGCCCTGAGGTTACAATAGGTTATCAGTCATAAATGTTGTTATTTGGTGTATATGGGACTTTATTAGCCATGTCAGGTACAAGTTACTGGTTTAGTTTGGATTATTCAACAATTAAGCAACCTAATTGCTTTTTTAAACATTTTTCTGGCAGAAAAAATACTCCTTGATAAGAATGCTCAGTTGATTTTTTTAAATTACAATTTAAAATATATAATTTATAATCTTGTTGCATGTTTTCTATTCATCAAAACCAACTGCCTTTTTCATGTATGTAATAATTTCTCTTTGTTTCTTTGACTTACATTTCACCGCCTTATTTTGTCTTTTTCTTCCACAAATTCATCCAATGTTGTTTCTTGTATATATTTTTTGTTTGTTTGTTGCTGTGTACTTGTGTGTAGGTGGGGAGGGTAAGGTTGGGACGGTAGTGGACATTCGCGGTTGGGACACAGAGTCTGGTCGCAGCGTGGCTTGGGTCACCTGGCCTAACGGGACCACCTATGTCTACACAATGGGTCATGAAGGCAAAGTAGACCTCAAATATGAATCGGATGGCCAAGGAGGCTTCTATTACAAGGATCACCTACCGAAGCTTGGTGAGACGGCACTTCTGTTTACTACTTCTTAAGGACGTATATGACTTACACCATTTGCAATTTTCTTGGCTAATTTTGATTATAAAATATTTTTTTATTAATTATTTTGTTTAGTTTTTAATAAATTCTAGTCTCCTGTCACAAATTTCTCTCTTTAACTGTAACTTAAAGGTTGAATATGGAACAATTAAATAAAAAATTACATATATTTTTAATAACACTTTCACGAGGCGCTTAGAGGCGTGCAGTATGATCTTTAAAAACTATAATTAATTTAAAAGATTCAAATATTTATTTTTACATGCACAACACAGGGTTTATGTTTACATCTACCAGCCAATAAAGGGCACCGTTGAGGTAAAAAGTCCACTCTGCACATCAAGGCTGGCACTGTGGCAAATGGTGGATTCGACAAGTCAAGCAGCTGCTTCTGAGCTCAGGAGATGTTCTAACGTTAAATATTGTTGTAAAGTAAAGGTATTAGTACAAATGAGACCTTACCCTGTGTGATCCATCACAGGACATGGCACTGACTGATCACTTCACGCATCGGCATTGAACCTGACCTCAGTTTTATTCTTGACATTTTCAGTACCTTCCAGAAGGAGCCATTTCAGGCATTTAAAGAGACAATGGAAACACATTTTTACCTCTTATTTTTCTACTTTGGTATTTTTGAAAATAGTCTTTTTATCTCCTTCATTAGCTTCTGATAGAAAATAGTCAGATCAGATTTGAAATCCCTGACAGATCTACATCACACTGTCACTCAGCATTCATGGTCTCACCCATCTTGACTTGCAATGGGGAAGGCTGTTGATGGTTTAATGTCCAGGAAACAGCAGAGAACGTTATGGCTAGTAAAAGCTAACCATTAGCATTTACTGGTTACCAGTAAACTACAGAATCAATTTCAAAGCACTTCTACTAGTTTATAAATCACTCAATGGCATGGGGCCAGAATACATGTCAGATCTCCTTCAGGTATATGCGCCCAGCAGGGCTCTGAGATCCTTAGGAAGCGGTCAGCTGGTAGAACTCCGGGTCAGAACCAAACAGGGTGAAGCTGCTTTTAGCTCCTATGCAGCTCACAGATGGAATCAGCTTCCTCATGACCTCAAATGTGCCCCAACTCTAGTAACTTTTAAATCAAAATTGAAAACCTTCATGTTTTCATCAGCCTTTGAATAAATGTTTTTATGCTGCACCTTCTGCACTGTATTTGCTCACCCTTTAACTTTAACTTAGTTTCTTTTTGTTTTTAAATTGTATTTTCTGTCACGTTGATTTTAATGTTCTTGCTAATGGAAAACACATTCAATTGCCTCTGTGTGTGTGAAATGTGCTATATAAAAAAGCTGCCTTGCCTCGCCTATTAGCAACTCCTCAACACGGCAGAAGTCCTCCAGGCTTGTGTTACTTGTGGAGATAAAACTTCAACATTGTAAAGCAAAGCATAGTCAATAGTAGTCATGTTACAACTTACAATTCATTTATTCCTACAAGAGTCCATTGCAAGTGCATCAAATGTATGAGTGAAGGACCTCTTTAAAGAGGGACTGCACACCATCTGAAAATGTAACTCTAGTCAAGATTTGAAAAATGCCATGAAAGTGGGCGTTGCCAGGAGGCACAGAGTGGCATGGCCAAGTGTGGGGAATTTCCATCCTGAGAGGGAGGGGGAGTGGTAGGAGACTGTACCGATGACTTAAAATTGTTCCAGCCCCAGTCAATCACAAGTTTAACATGCAGTAGCTGCTGTTCTGCCACAGGTGGCAGCACTAAGACGTTTTTAGACCTACAGTGGGGCAAAAAAGTATTTAGTCAGCCACCGATTGTGCAAGTTCTCCCACTTAAAATGATGACAGAGGTCAGTAATTTTCATCGTAGGTACACTTCAACTGTGAGAGACAGAATGTGAAAAAAAATCCATGAATTCACATGGCAGGATTTTTAAAGTATTTATTTGTAAATCAGGGTGGAAAATAAGTATTTGGTCAATAACAAAAATTCAACTCAATACTTTGTAACATAACATTTGTTGGCAATAACAGAGGTCAAACGATTATTATAGGTCTTTACCAAGTTTGCACACACAGTAGCTGGTATTTTGGCCCATTCCTCCATGCAGATCTTCTCGAGAGCAGTGATGTTTTCAGGCTGTCGCTGAGCAACACGGACTTTCAACTCCCTCCACAGATTTTCTATGGGGTTGAGGTCTGGAGACTGGCTAGGCCACTCCAGGACTTTCAAATGCTTCTTACGGAGCCACTCCTTTGTTGCCCGGGCGGTGTGTTTGGGATCATTGTCGTGTTGGAAAACCCAGCCACGTTTCATCTTCAAAGCTCTCACTGATGGAAGGAGGTTTTGGCTCAGAATTTCACGATACATGGCCCCATTCATTCTGTCCTTAACACGGATCAGTCGTCCTGTCCCCTTAGCAGAAAAACAGCCCCAAAGCATGATGTTCCCATCCCCATGCTTCACAGTAGGTATGGTGTTCTTGGGATGCAACTCAGTATTCTTCTTCCTCCAAACACGACGAGTTGAGTTTATACCAAAAAGTTCTACTTTGGTTTCATCTGACCACATGACATTCTCCCAATCCTCTGCTGTATCATCCATGTGCTCTCTGGCAAACTTCAGATGGGCCTGGACATGCACTGGCTTCAGCAGCGGAACACGTCTGGCACTGCAGGATTTGATTCCCTGCCGTTGTAGTGTCTTACTGATGGTGACCTTTGTTACTGTGGTCCCAGCTCTCTGCAGGTCATTCACCAGGTCCCCCCGTGTGGTTCTGGGATTCTTGCTCACCGTTCTCATGATCATTTTGACCCGACGGGTTGAGATCTTGCGTGGAGCCCCAGATCGAGGGAGATTATCAGTGGTCTTGTATGTCTTCCATTTTCTGATAATTGCTCCCACAGTTGATTTTTTCACACCAAGCTGCTTGCCTATTGTAGATTCACTCTTCCCAGTCTGGTGCAGGTCTACAATTCTTTTCCTGGTGTCCTTCTACAGCTCTTTGGTCTTGGCCATAGTGGAGTTTGGAATCTGACTGTTTGAGGCTGTGGACAGGTGTCTTTTATACAGATAATGAGTTCAAACAGGTTCCATTAATACAGGTAACGAGTGGAGGACAGAAAAGCTTCTTAAAGAAGATGTTACAGGTCTGTGAGAGCCAGAGATTTTCCTTGTTTGAAGTGACCAAATACTTATTTTCCACCCTGATTTACAAATAAATTCTTTAAAAATCCTGCCATGTGAATTCATGGATTTTTTTCACATTCTGTCTCTCACAGTTGAAGTGTACCTATGATGTAAATTACTGACCTCTGTCATCATTTTAAGTGGGAGAACTTGCACAATCGGTGGCTGACTAAATACTTTTTTGCCCCACTGTAGATCATAGATTTAATCAAGTTTACACAAACATGTCAAAAAATACACAGAAACAGAAAGATTGCATTTGCAAAGACCCAATTATACAGTTTATAAGCATAAAAATATTATTTTGGGGTTTAGTTACTCTTTAAGGAAATTAAGCCGTTACTGGCCAAACCTTCCGATCCCCTCATTGGCTGCTATGAGGTGAGGAACTCGGATATCCTGGAGGAGCTTGGAGTAGAGCTGCTGCTTATCCACATCCAACGCAGAAGCAGAAGCTTCAACTGGTTGGGGCAGTGTCTATGCTTATGTTTGTGACATCACAACAGGGGGAAATTTTGAAATGGCTTGTTGAAGCCTATGATTCCCGAGACCAAAATCTGACAAAAACAGGATGAACAGGTTTTTATCTGTGTTTCAAGTGTTTAAAGAGACATTAGAGACCCACATGGCAACACAAAAGGATGCAACAAGGTATTTTTGCATAATATTTCTTCTAAACAGCAATTCTCTAAATGTTCAGCTGTTAACTCACAAAATAACATGGAGGCTCATGATGTCAGTCGTCATTGGAACAAATTAAACGAGGAACTATTGACAACGAGAACAACAAATAGACGCAAACTTTTTGTGTTTTGAGTTTTCTGTTTACACAGAAAATTCATAATAAACATTGTCAGTGGAAAAATTAAAAACCCCATCAAGTTGTAAGATTTCAAAAGGGGCAAACCAAAATTCGATCAATTCCAGTCGCTTGTTAGGGAGTCGGTACACAAACGTTCTAGAAAACATCTAAAAATCTACCACCACAATATGACTTCCTCTTTCTCATCTCTGATTTCAGGAGAACACGCAGAGCTACAGCGGCAGGAGAGTGCTGACGGCCACTCCTTTCAGCAAGGAGACAAGGTGAAATGTCTCTTAGAGGTGGACATCCTGAGACAGATGCAGGAAGGTTACGGAGGATGGGACTTCAAAGTGGCTGAGGTATGAAATGCAAAACAGACGGATGAAAAACACAATAAGGATTTTAGCTTTTTATAAAATGTAGAAGTATTTCATTAACTTTCTTTTTTTATCAGTAAGCCTGTTGTGTACAAATGTGTTTGTTTTCAACAAAACTCTGGTTCCACAATCACAAAAACACTCCACTAGGACAAACCGAATCTTTTTAGAAGAAGGCTGAGCATCCAACTTTGTAATTGCAGCTGCTAAAGAGAATAATAAGGTCACAGTCACACCGAGGGGAGACCCAGGGCGAAACGCTCTGTTTGTGTTTGCAGTACATTTGTCGGGTCGGGACGGTTGGGACGGTTCGTAGAATAACGGACCAAGGGTGCGTCCAGGTCCAGTACAGCAACAACATCCGCTGGACTCTCCACCCAGGCGCACTCACAAAGGTACTTAAATACAGAGCAGGATACGCTGATTTTGATTCAGATTGATTTCATATTTTGGCTTTTATTCTATTTTTATTTAGGTCAACACATTTGGAGTTGGCGAACTAGTGCGAGTGCTGGAGGAGATGGAGACGGTGAAGAGACTGCAGGCCGGTCATGGAGAGTGGACAGACAGCATGATTCCTGTATGCTGAGTTATAGGCTAATTAACTAAAAGGTCGGCTGATAGGGCGACCTCTGCATGCAGGTCTAGTGGAGCTTTAAGCTGAAGTCACTTGACTTTAGGAGGGTCAAAGTGTAGTTTAGATGGATTCATTGTTTGGGATTTGGGTGGTCTTTCACAAATTTACAAAATGACAAAAATCTATTTGCCATCTTTATTTTAGCAGTTTTTCTTTCTATAATCAGTCATTTTATTTAACTGGAATTCTTTTAAAGCAAACTAGTTATCCTCTTTAAAGTTAGGATTTAACTGCTTGATTACTTAAAATGTCAGAGGGACAGAAATGGGGCGTTAATACATCCTTGATTTGTTCATTTGCCCTTTCCCTCTCCTCACACCTGGTTTCTGTCGTTGTTTACCCTAGGTTCTTGGCCAGGTCGGCAAGGTGACGAAGGTGTATGCAGATGGAGACCTACGAGTTGCATTTGGAGGCCAGACATGGACTTTTAACCCAGCATGCCTTGCAGCTCAGCCTGCGGAGGTAGATGCCAGCCTCGTGAGGGCTGAGAACCCCATCAATCCTGGAAGTAAGGCCTCCACCGGGACCAGGGGGCTCATCCCAAAACGCTGCAGCTCCAGCCCTCCTTTCAGCACTGTCTTCGCTTTGCATGCTTTCTCATATAGGCGCCTCCATCAATGGCCTTTCTGTTTTTTCCCCAAATGTGTGAGCACGGTGTTGGTTTCTTCAAGTACTCTTTCCTGTAGCATGCCGCGATGCAGCTTATTAACAGCAAGAAGCTTTGGCAGCTCAGCAAACGTTTGTCATCATGTCAGAAGTTCTCAGCAGGCTCTTAATCATCTTGGGCTCTGTCTATGTATGTGTTCACCTCACCATTGAAAGGTGAGAACCAAAACCGGTGTGTGGTCAGGTTCCACTGCATGGAGGGACATTTTGGCTCATTCATGTGTTCATTCCAGTCCTGAAAAAGTCATCATCCTATAACTTAAGAGTTTTCGTCCCTCTCTAAAGCCGTCTGTAGTTACTGTTGAAATCGAAAAGCTAACTCTTGTGTCTTTTTTGTGTTTCCTCTCCCGCTCTGTCCAGGTATTATCATCCCATATCTGAAGAAGCTGCTGTCTGAGTTCAAGGAACAGAACAACCCCAGCCGGCTGGTCACTGAAGCAGCGCATGGCAGTGTCAGCAAAGTGCAGGAGTTGTTGCAGAAGTATCCTGACAAGGTGAGTGCAGCACTCCTGTTTGCTGCAGTCTGCTGTCCGTTCCAAGACGGGGTGGGGGAGGCTCAAAACTTGTTTAGAACAAACTAAGCACTTTGACATATTACCAGTCTGATTAAATTACTAATTTACTCCTATTATATTAGCATAATGAAGACTGAAGTGAGGCAATGACCAGCAGGGTGGTGCTAGCCCAGTTCTCTCAAAAGCTCCTCTTTTGCTTATAGAATAAAAAAATAACTGAGTTCCATTTCTGTAGAGTTCAACTCGAGTTCCTCTTATTATTTTTAAGTATTTAATCATTTATCATTTAAATTGACCATTGACAGATAAAAAAAATCCAGATGCCCTCCATGTAAAATCACAACTTTAATCCATGAGAATTTAAACCATTTTTGTGCAAATTTAGGATTATTCAATCTGTCCTTGAAAATGTGTGAATGAAATGTTAGAAAATATTCATTTTGTTCTTTAAGTGTCTTTATTTTTGGAAAAGTTGACTTCTTTCTTTTGGCTAACTCTTTGACATTATTCTCAACATTTTGGAGATTTTTCTCTGATTTTTCAATTTTCTTGCCTCTATGACTATTTTCTTTATCTACATCAACACAAAAATAGCGCTGTAATCTTGTGTGTTTGTAAGATTTTTAACTAATATTTAAAATGCGTTTTGTGTTCTTTTTGGTTCAGCTAGTTACTCTGTTATCAGACACGTCTGTCACCAAGTAGATGTATTTTAGGAAATGTTACAGTCCGTCAAAATAAACTGTCAAATACGGGAACTATCCGGTCCACACAGCACACGCCCTGCTTTTAACTGTTTTTCCGTTACTGTAAATGAGGGAAAAACAAATTAATCGGATCATGCACATCTTTTATCACATTGGTCAGGATTGACACACTTTGTTTTCATTTAGTTTTTAACCCTTTAACGCCAAGGCGTCACCAGGATCACCGGTGACACCTTGGCGCATGTGATTTCAAATAACTCCTCACTACTTAAACTATAAAATTCTTTAAAAAAATATAAAGGAGCTACTGTATGATGCTAAGGGTTACTGAAATCAAGGCCGTTTCATATTCTATTCTCCTCGCTAATCAGGCAGTGATCGAGGTCGCTTTTCTAAGAGAGACCTGAATGATAAATATTAACACAATCGAAGAAACTCCTCCAAATGTCTGACTTGCCTTGCTTTGGTTTTTGTGTCATAAAGGCCTTGTTTCAGCTTCTTTTCAACATCAGTTGCCGACTCCATCATACTCATCCCGATCCCGCACTGTTTCTTTTAGCCGACTGTTCCCGCCCGCAGCAAAATTCACAACGCCCGCCCCCGCAAGATTTGAGTTGGGTCCCGCGGGACCCTGCAGGACCCAATCCCGATGCAGCCCTCTATCCTGAGGGAAGTTGAAGCATTGCAACAACTCAGCAGGCAATACATTTAGTCAAATAAACATAAAACGTCTATCTTATGTTAAAGGGGTTGTTTATATATAGAATAAATGTTTTAAAACACTAATCTGGCCATTAAAGATGTTTGTTTTGGTTTAGCAACAAACCAAACAGAAGAGGTGAACAGCAGAGCAAACAGGTTTGCAGATTAAGTTGAACTCAGCCTGTTGTGGATAGGCGTAGCTTTGGGTCACGTGGTGTCGGTAATAGTAATAGTGATTGCTATCACCTGTTCAGGCGCGAGGGAATGGGAGAATGAGTGGGTGATGGGGGGAGTCGACTTTTTGCTGACCGCTCAAGCTTAGAATGTTTTTTATTTATCACTGTTTTCAACGGATTTTAAGGCTTTGATAACAAATAAAGGAGTTTTTATCCTGGAACTTTGACTTACGTTTGGAACAGCGGGCGCATCAACATTATTCCCTTACTCAGCTGCTCGGCGACTCAAAGGCTTGAAAGTCGCCAACACAGCCACTTGTTTACGTGTTCTAAAGCAGCGATCAGACTCACGGTTATTTAAGCGGGTTTGTAAGTTGCTGTTTCTTCAGCTCTCAGCCTCATTTCTCCAGTGCAATATCTGTTTAATGTGGGATTTTTCAGTGGAAGTCCCAAGAATTTCAACATCCCCGCTGAAGTCCTGAAGCAGGGTCAAAAGATCCTTAGTCCACACGGATGACTCTGATAGCTCCAATTAGCATCCCTTCATTTGTAAATGTGGCCATTGCCAGAGGAATCAGCATGGGGCAGGAGAGATGAATTCACACAAAAGTCACATGATGTTGTGCCGCATTATCCAGGTCATTTTGCCAAATGTGAGAGGACTAGAAACATGAGACATGAAAACATAAGAGAAGTTTTCACTGTTTTGATAGAGATATGGCATTTTGCTGCTGTTCCATGGTGCTTTGCTAAACCATATAGAGGATTTTGCCAAATACACCTTGAATTTTGAGAATGTCATCTCAGTTTCGAGAAATGAGCCAAACTAATTGAAAAAAAAAACCAACCTGTAAAAATCAACTTAAAATTGTTCAAAAGTTGGGGATAAGTTGGTTCAAAGACTGAGTGTAAGCTGCTCCTGAGAGTGTCTGCCCATCCCCCAGCTGCATTTTTTGCAGGGCTATCCTAAGCAACAGCTACAGAAATTTGCATGCATCCTTTAGTGCTGTGGAGGATAAATAGGTGACTGCTTCACCTAATGCAAAGGAGGCTAACCACTCAACAGGCATTGGAACTGATCGTGAGCAAGGCCAACCCTTGTGACTCAGATGGAGAAGACAACCAGATTCGGACTCTGAGCTGTCTTCAGGTTAGATTTCTCAAACTACCTATTTTCATTTCCTGCCTTTCTATTTTTATTTAGAACCAAACAAAAAGTTAATTTAAAATTGTTTATCTTGCAGATGCGGAGACGACTCTACCAAAAAAGAGAGCTTGGTTGGGGAGTGAGCTGACAGAGACCTCAAAAGATGGCACTGTGTGGTGTGAAAAACAAGTGGGGACATGTCTCCATATCACTCCAATATAACCTTACGCCACAGCTGGAGAGCCAATGGCTAAGGCCATTGTGGATGTGATGGACCAAATGGTGCGGGAGTACAGCGTGCGTGCAGGAACACAGAGATGGCCAGTCGCCGTGTTCTACAACATGATTGACATGGCAGCACTGAATGCACATGTGCTTTATCAGGCATGCATTGGGGTGCAGGAGAGATGGGTGAACTTCCTGGTTGAGCTTGCAAAAGAGTTGGGTGACGGTCATGTGAGTGAGAAGAAGGCACGCAAGGAGAAACTGCTTCGGCTAAAACCTTCCACACCCAGCCCTGGCAAAAGGGCAAAGTGTCAGGTCAACCATCGTTGCACAAACAATTGTGCAACTGTGACATGTGTTGACTGCTACAAATGTACATGTGGCAAATGTACCAGAGTCATACCCTGGCATGGCCAGGTATGTTCCGACAGTGCAGACTGATGCACTCACTCAAGCCGGGCGTGCAACTTTTTCACTCGCAGCGTTCAGCTTCAGCTCAAACTGTACGACTTCCTCGCAGAGCAGATCTCACGAGTCGTGTGCTCACACTGTACGACCCAGTTCTCGCATGCGACCTGACTGCTCACACTGTACGTCTGGTAGCAACACGTCGGCCCTAAAAATGTGCTAAAAATAGCGGTTTTTACTCAACACGTCAGACTTTTTTGTCTTGCCTGTTGTCCTTCGGGAGAGCTGCAGGAGGACACACAGGGATTTATGGGGGTTGGATGAGGAAAACGAAATAAAGAAAGTGAATCTGTGTTTTGTGATCAGTTTAATTTGACATGAACACGACAAACACGCTTTCTTGACAATCTGTGAGTAAAAAAAACGTGTAGAAACAAAAACGAACAGCGTGTGTTATTAGGGAAATAGCGAGCGACCGGCGTTGATGCAGGATTGCGCGCGCATGCGCCGTGAGCGGTTCTGATACTTTTTTGGATCGTAGCTGCTCGCAGCGCCGCTTCAACAGTGCGATACCCTCACGAGGGACAAGCGAAATATTAAACACACCAGAAGTCCCTGCGACCTCACGACTGCTGATCGGCGGCTGGTCACGTGGTGTTAATCGCCTCTCGTAACCCCCTGTACACTACACGACCGCTCGGCGGAAAACTCGCCCCGATGTCGTGGCTTCTCGCACGACTGGAATATCGGCTCAAAAAAGTGAAAAAGTCGCACAGTGTACGCCCGGCTTCACACGCATGCACGCACACACACACACACACACACACACACACACACACACACACACACACACACACACACACACACACACACACACAGCACCCACTGCAGCTTAGTGTAAATATGTGTGAAATTGTTTTATTCCTTGTATTTTTTGGATCATTTTTATGACAAAAATAAAAAGCATGGAAACTAATAACAGTTGTTCTTTTGTATATTTCTCATGCTGAAATTTCAGTCCTCTTGATTTAGACACAAACGCTTCTGGTCTTTGCTCACAGCTGGACCTGGAAAACCTTATTTACAAAACAAAAGTGGCTGTTCACAACTCATTATACAATGTTAGCTAAAATCCTGCAGGTCACTCGACCCATCTCTGGGTTCCAAAGGTAGAAATGCTAAATGACCCTTCTCTGGGAATTCTAGTGTAAACTCGCCTGCAACCAGGCCCAAATTTGACTAACTCATTTCATTCTGCTCGAATGTTGCAGCTACTCAACTAAAAACATGTCTGCCTGAAGTTTATTTGGGTTTTCTGTGTGAGGAAATATAAATATGGTCTGTTTTTATATTGTTTTTGTTAGAATGACCAGAAATTAAAACTTTTAGTTAACACAATGATTAATTAGGTGAATGTTGATTTCTCCTCGGCTCAATGCAATTCAGGAAAACAGGCTGATTTGTTTTAAGCCTGTTTTTATTTTCTCTTTAGGGTTTATACGGGGGGACAGCGCTTCACGATGCCATCGCTAGAGACTTCAGAAATATTATTGAGATCCTTGTGGCGGTTCCCAACATTGAATTTACTCTGCAGAACCAACCAAGCTTCAACCTGCTGCACTACGCCGCCCTCAGAGGAAACAAACTGTAAGTAGGAGTAAATACAGAGCTCAAGTTTGACTCGATTAGAGAGGAAATTTGACTTGAAACCCACATTTATTGGAAGATAAACAGATTTTGTACTTCATTTAAAAAATGTGTGCTTTCTTTGAGTTTCATCTGTGGAGATTGAGCAAATCAGATGTCCACAGGATCTTTTAGAGACAAAGAAAAAAAATCCTTTTGCTCTGTTTGAATTAATTTAATTCACGCAAAAGCTTTGAAACATTATTAGAAAAATGCACATGAGTGCAAGTGGGAATTTCTCTGGTGGGTTCGGATAAGGATTTGACGGTCAGCTCTCAACACTATCTGTTGCAGATAGAGAGCTCCTCTCCCACACAGCGTTTTGCTGCCGTCAGCAGCCTGGAAGTCGATATCAAGCAGAAAATGCAACAAACAAAGTGTATTTTTTTGTTGTTGCATCTCTTTATAAACTCACTTGTCCTCTGAATTGTTCCCACACAATATTCAGTGTACTTATTTATAAGAGGAGCCTCTTATCATGGTCACTGATGTGTCTTTAGTGGAAAGAGTCTCTAAAACGTCCTCCATGAATGTGTCTTTAAACATGTTTAAACAAACTTCATTTAGTCTACTTTTGAATTGAGATGCTTCAGTTGGGACTGCAAGAGTGGGAACAGCTCATTTTTTCTTTTGCACACACACACACACACACACACACACACACACACACACACACACACACACACACACACACACACACACACACACACACACACAAACACAAACATTCTTTACCTGTTTTTAATGACAACTAGGCAAATCTCTGGGAACAGCCTCCTAACAGCACTCGTCATGATTTTTATGTCTTCTTTGAGAGATTATGATTAAACTTGATTTAACAGAAGCTATCCTGTTTTTTTCTAGCTCTCGGATGCAAACTCGTTACTTTTACTAATGATGAAGTCGTTTATGTATTTTTCGGTTTAAATCCAGCTTATTTTGTATCAGTCAGAAGCTCATTGAAAGATAAACTCAGTCATTCTCCGTTTGTTCTTGAGGCGACACATGAAAGCCGTCCCTATGACACCTGTCACAAAGGCTCTTTTGTCTTCTGCCTGTTTGGTTTTAAGCCTGTTGACACTGAAGGTTCTTAATCACAAACTGAGCACGACTCTAACAAGGCAGGCAAAAGCTCAGCGTGTTCTCACAGTGACACTGTTTGATCCAGACATGAGTCAACATTTATGGCCAGCCTCTCTGTTCATGTTGCATCACCTTAGCCTCCACCGTCCTTAAGTAGCCTGTGAATGTAGAGTGATCCGATGGATTCTTGATAGTAATCAACCACTGCCAAAAGAAACATTATCAAATGACTGATTTTATTGTGCAAAGTCCGGTGCTATGTGCAGATATCATCATAGTTGAACTCATCTTTAGTATTATTTACTACATTTTCAACTGGACAGTTATTTATTGGCTGCCAGATGCTAATTTAAGATTTTACTTTGATCTGGCTAACTAGATCATTCTAATTGGCTGTCCAGACCTTTCTGATATTATCTGATAGAATAGAGGTTGTCCATCATTAAATGATGTTGTACTATTTGCTTTTATTCAGTTACAGGCAGCAGTAATCTGTCTTTTGGTATTCATGGTAAATTTAGACATTGATGCAGGTACATGACACATTTTTAAATATTTATGATGATGATATTTTGATATAAAGAGTTACTTTTCTTGTTTGTGGTGGAATTAAAAGCCAAGTTCACTGATAAACCATTTTTTACTTGATTTTGAAATGTGATCGGTTACTCTGAGTTTTAACACGCTAGAAAATAGACTGTTTAGCATCTATTTTCAGTGTGCCTTTGCACGCTAAATAGGCTCAATAGGTTAATGTTCAGGAGAGAGCAGAACTCCTCTCTAACAGAAGCTAACCATTAGCTTTAGCAACTTCACCATAGAGCTGAACTCCTTCAGGCTTGTGTTATTTGTGGGGAATAAACATCAACATTGCAGAGCAAATGGACTCCGAAGTAGAGTCATGTTGCTGTTGTCCAATCAGAAACGAGAACACCGAATATCAGGAAATAAGACTTAAATCCAGTAGTCTGCTCTGCTCTGCTCTGGATTTTTTTGCTCTCATAAATCGACTCACAAGGCATTAATTTGTTTAGAGACCACTGCAAATGTGTTGAAAGAATAAGTGAACTTGGTCTTTAATAAGTTGTATCAGCAATAGGGCTGCAACAACGAATCGATAAATTCGATGAAAATCGATTACTAAAAGCGTTGGCAACGAATTGCGTCATCGATTTGTTGTGTTGCGCAACTCTTCCAAAAGCCCCCCCGGCCGCCGTTGCGCACAGACCGGAAGCAAGTCAGATCAGCGCGAGGGAGAGAGTCGGCAGGTGTTCGGAAGAGGAACATGGCAGAAGCAGCGAGACCCAAAAAAGTAAAAACTTCTAAAGTTTGGGAGCATTTTCAGTTAAATCAGGCGAAGACATTCGTTACCTGCAACGTTTGTAGGCCAGACTTAGCATGGCACGGGAGTA